TCATCCCAAGAGGAGTGGCAAGCCATTGCATTAAAGTTTAAAGATAGGTGGAACTTTCCCAATTGCTTAGGGGCTATTGATGGAAAGCGTATAGTTATGGAACCACCTGCTGGCAGTGGCTCCTTTTACTACAACTACAAGGACACAAACTCTATTGTTTTAATGGCAATAGCCGGTCCGGATTTTCAAAAGGCCAATGAAAACTTCATGCAAACCTATTGAGTATATTCGATGTTTGTCAAGAAATGCCAAGCGATCCCAAGAATTGCTTTGATTTTTTCATGCGGTCAAGCTAACTTGAACGTACCGTACTAAAACATATAAACATGTTTTATAAAGCTTGGGAGGTCACGTTGGTTTCGTATAATGTTGTCTTTGTGCACACAGTAAGTGTCACCAGCTTTAGAAGGGCTTCAAGTTCAGTGGATATGGACGGAAACAACACTGAAAACCTCAAATAAACCTATTGAAAAAATTTGATGTTTTTTTTTTTTTAAATCCCAACTGATTCTAAAATTATTTGGAATTTTAGTGGGCAAATTTTCCGAGGTTAACGAGACACAAAAACACTTCACCAGACTGCCGGGCACGTTCTCAAATAGCTAAAATACCTTTTTCACGGTAGTTTTATCTGAGTGAAGTTGTACTTTATCCGGTGTAACAGGGCCTTCGAGAGTATTGTAGTATGAGGTGCACCACTATTGTCGGAAATCTTTGCATCAAGTGAACCAAAATACCGTGTGCGTTGGGGAACAAGTTGACGTATTTCTACTAGGTTGATCCGCTGGCTTACAGAAGAAAAAATTTTGGATAGAAAGAACTGGGAAAAGTGCCATATACAAAATATAGCGCTTCATAACCTTTAACTGACATTTTACCGAATATTTCTGACTGCCGGGCATTTAGTCCATTCTAGACTGCGCCCGGTCGTCGGATCAGAAGCGAAGAATTTTCAATAAGTGTCGACAACCGAGCGATATTACAGGGTGAACAAGCTCGCTGAATAAACTAATAAAAACAAATCCATTTTTGGAAATGCTTAACATTTCTTAGCAAACATGTGATATTCTTATGAAGTTTGAAAGAACCTTTGAAAGGAAATTCTGTGAAACTTTCTGACTGCCGGGCATTTAGTCTGTTATTTGAGACCGTGCCCGGCTGCAGGGCATTTAGTCACAGCGATAAATAATTGACGTGGCAAACGACCAAGAACTACTTCGAGACCGATTCAAATCTCTATTCAAAGAATAATAAATTTTCTTCTCAGAAGGGAAAAACAAACGAGTTTCTCGGATTAACAGAACCCGTGGGGCAGATTTACCATGCTTGAATTTTTGTTTGCTAAAATTTACAACCAGAAAATTGCCTAAGTCGATTAATTCAGAAAGCTCATTTCCAGCCATAATTCGCTCCGCGCTTGGAAATGAAGTATCATTAACTCCAAAACGAATTTCATCGCTTGAAAGAGCGATTAAGGCGCTCTAATACATTCTTGTTCAATACGTATTTCTCAGGAATCAGAGTAGAATTGTCTGGACCCTCTATGTAAAACTTTCATCTGTTGTTTAGTTGAAGGTGTCTTTAACTCCCCTACGGCTTAGAACAGAAGGCGCTCAAATGGCCGAACTCCCCGCATTATAAGATAAACAACGCAAA